GGCGGAAGCCGCCAGAGCACAGCTTGAAGAGCGCATGAATGCCCTCAACAAGAAGAAAAAGAAGAGCACGCTCAATTGCTTCTGAATAAAGCACTCATTTTTGTGGGAGGTTCTCTGTTTGCTTGCTTATTCTTATCCTTGCACCCCTGCCAGATGAATTTAGCCTTGTACTGTACCATGATGAATTCCACGTCGACTCCCTCTGATTTTGGACATGGTCGATACTCTTTTCGCTTCCTCTCTGTGTATTCCACACCTCACTACTTTTGTGTTGTTTTTGCGCGATTTTCTTCCTTTTCATTCATCCTGTGTTTTATGAATTTCACCTTATGACCTTGACTGTATGGCCTGTTATTGTACATTTCTCGACTACCCTGTTATTACACCTTACACATGCATCGAGTGAGCATGTTGGTTTAGTTGTCTAGCATAGCTGTTCATAGCGAAATGAGCTAGAAATCATAGTTCTTGCGGTTCTGACTTCACCTTCTCGATCCACGTTAGCCTGTAAGGTGTAAGTGCATGCATGGCTGAAATGGCCATGCAGCGAAATACACACAGATTTCATCTGTGATATCACCGGCAACTGTTATCATCACATGACACAAGCTAATCAGCTTATCAACTGGCCCGATAGTGGCCGCGTGTACTCTTCCCCTAACACCAAAGCTATACAAAGATTCTCCCTTCCCATTGCGCATGAAATGGCCGTTCTCTTCTCCGTTCCTTCTTAGCCAGCCAAAATCTTCCCTACTGGTAATTGCCCTTCCTGTAGGGCTCACCACGATTCCACAATGTCTTCCCCAAGCCCCCGCCTCCCTAAAATCACCATCATCCACCCGGACCTCGGCATAGGCGGCGCCGAACGTCTGATCCTCGACGTGGCCCTGGCCCTCCAGAACCGCGGCCACCGCGTCACGGTTTACACCTCCCACCGCGACAAGTCGCACTGCTTCGAGGAGGCCCGCGACGGGACCCTCGACGTGCGCGTCCGCGGCAACACGATTTTTCCCGCGCACCTCGGCGGCCGGTTCCACGTCCTCATGGCCATTGCGCGCCAGGTGCATTTGACCCTGTCGCTACTGGGGGAGGCTCTAGACAACAATCCCGGCACGCAGGAAATCGAGGAGGAGGAGATCTTCATCGTAGATCAAGTCCCCGCCTGCGTTCCGATCCTGAAGACTTGGGGTGCGACGAGGAGCAGGAGGAGGAGGGGGAGCGGAAGCAGCAGCAGCAGCAGCAAGCAACGCATTCTCTTCTACTGCCATTTTCCGGATCAGTTGCTCGCCTGGAGGGATGAGAGTGGGGGATTATTGCGGGCGGTGAAGACGCTGTACCGGGCGCCGTTCGATTGGTTCGAGGGGTGGGCGATGGGTGCGGCGGATAAAGTTGTGGCCAATTCGCGGTTCACGAGGGGGGTGATTACGGGGGTCTTCGGGGCGGAGACGCTTGGGGAGTTGAGTGTTGTTTATCCTTGTGTGGACACCACGGTGAAAGGGGAGAAGGTTGGGGAGAAGGTGCCAGGAGAGGAAAGGTTGTGGGGTGGGAAGAAGATCTTGCTGAGTGTTAATCGGTTCGAGAGGAAGAAGGATATGGCGCTCGCGATCCGGGCGTATCATGGGCTGGGCGCGGAGAAGAGGCTGGGGACCAGGTTGGTTATTGCTGGTGAGTTCTGGGTTTCCTTTTTTTGAGTCTTACTGTTACTCTGCGAGGGGCGGTGGGCTAATGTGGGATGAAATTTGATGTAGGTGGTTACGATAACCGCGTTCAGGAGAATGTGCAGTACCATAAGGAGTTGGATCAGCTGGCGACGAGTCTGGGATTGCAGACTGCCACGGCGAAGACGGTCGTCTCGGCGCTATCCGTCCCGGACTCGATCGACGTGCTCTTCTTGCTCTCAGTGCCCACGGCCTTCCGCGATACCCTCCTGCTGCAGTCCAAGCTGCTCCTCTACACGCCCGTCAACGAGCATTTCGGTATCGTGCCGGTCGAGGCCATGCGCGCGGGGATTCCTGTCCTCGCGTCGAATACTGGTGGCCCCCGCGAGACGATTGTCGAGGGCGAGACCGGCTGGCTTCGCGATGCAAAGAACGACGCCGAGTGGACGGCGGTCATGGATAAGGTGCTCTACGAGATGGACCCGGCGGAGTTGGATCGCATGTCCGCTGTGGCAAAGAAACGGGTTGAGAGCGAGTTCTCGCTCACTGCGATGGGCGAGAAATTGGAGCAAGAGATCAACGACATGCTCCGCAAGGAAAGGCCGCCATTCCGTGGGTTCCAGCAGATCCTGGTGTTTCTGGCTATCCTGGGCGTTGTCTTTGCCGTCTTGGTTACCGTGCTTCTCAGGTTGCTTTGACTTTGACTTTGCTTTGCTAATCTAATACCCTTTTTGCAATGTACAGTATATTAGAATTTGTTTGCTCATTGATTACATGGCGGATGCTTTTTCCCATATACTCCACTCCGTACTGGTGATAGATATAGATTCACGTGACTGCGCGCAGCGGACGTGACGTCGCGACACGTGCCGCCGGCCTTGAATCTCTTATCCTCCGCAATCGTCGTTGGCTGTTTCTCGCCCACTCTATCTCAGAACGCGACACAATGCCAGAGGTCATCAGTCTTCTCTCCTCGACGCCTCCTCCCCCTCTTCCTCCAGTAGACCGACACGAACTTTCCTCTGCAAGACGCGCTCACTCCACTCCGCCCGGCGCCGCATCGTTCGCCGACGACGTCGACCTCTCCGCTTTCACATGGGAGGACGATCTCGACCTTGACAACCCAGCCAAGCGTCGACGTCTGAGCCATGAAACACTTCCTCCTCCTCCGCCTCCGCGATTCCGGCAGCCATCCCTCCCCAAGCCCAGGAGCAATCTGTTCCTATTCTCCGACGAAGATGTGATCTTATCATCCGAAGGTCCAGGTCCAGGTCCAGGTCCCGGTCCCGGCCCCGTCCCCAGCCCCACCCTTCCGAAACTCCCAGTCTGGAATGGAGAATCAGATCCGATTATCTTCACGTCATCTGCCCCAGAACCCACTAGTCTCGCTGCACAGAGACCTCCTCCCCGTACCACAGATGCTATTGCGATCGACGTCGATGATCATGATGATCACAAGCGATTGCCCACGGCTGGGTCACACAACCACCGAGAGAGCATCGAGGACTTCAGCGACCAGATTCAATTCCCCGACATCAACGAACTTCTCGAACGTCCGAGACCTCCACCGATGACCGGCGCATTCTCCAGTCGTACGGCGGCTCTACTCGCCAACCTCGAGCGACCACAAGGCGGCGGTGCTACGGGAAGTACGTCCACCACAACGACAGCAAGCCGCCGGCGCAAGAAAGATCGAGCCGCGGAGGACATCATTGAAGATGACGACAAGATGGATGATCCAGCCGCTACCGCCCGGGGCAAATCCCAGCGCAAAACCACCACCGCCACCCGCACCACCACCACCACCACCAGCGCAGAGAAGGACGCCAAAGCCCGGGAACGGGAGGCGGCCAAGGCGCAACGCGAACAGGAGCGGCAGCGGGAAAAGGAGCGCAAGCAGAGACTCAAGGACGAGAAAGCCCGGGAGAAACAGCTTGCCGCCGACATCGCGGAGGTCAACAAGCTGAAAGTAACGAAGAAGGAGTCGACGCCGGAGATGCTGATCGACCTCGCCTCGACGTTCGAAGGGACGAGCGTCGGGAACCAGACGACGGAGTTCATGAAGCATCTCGGGGTGGAGCTGTCGTTCTTCGCCAGTGCGATCCCCAACGTTGTGAGATGGCGCCGCAAGGTCAAAGCGACCTACAACGAAGCCCTCGGGTACTGGGAACCCTGTGCGCCGCACGTCCGCGACGAGGACGAGCATGTGCTCTGTCTGGTGCCGGCGCAGGAGTTCGTCGACATGGTCTTGTCGTCGTCGTCGTCTGCTTCGCCAGAAACCGATACAACAACCCTAGAGCAACACATCCAGACGCTGAAATCCGCCTACCCCAACCGCACCCCGATCTACCTGATTGAAGGCCTGACCATCTGGCTGCGCAAGAACAAAAACTCCCGCAACAAAGCCTACGTAGCCGAAGTCCGTCGCCAGTACGACGAGGCTGCAGCAGCAACAGCAGCAGCATCATCCACCGACCCGACCACCACCACCACAGCAACCACCCGCCGCACCCGCAAGAAACCCCAACAACCCACCAACAAACCCGAAACCACCCCGCCCATTGACGACGACACGATCGAAGACGCCCTCCTCGACCTCCAAGTCACCCACGCCTGCCTGATCCACCACACGGCCGCGCCCGCCGACTCGGCCGAGTGGATCAAGAACTTCACCGAGCACATCTCGACAGTCCCCTACCGGCGCGAGCGCATGGCCGTCAACGACTCGGCCTTCTGCATGGACGTGGGCCAGGTGAAACCCGGCGAGAACCGCTCCGACACCTTCGTCAAGATGCTGCAGGAGGTCAACCGCATCACCGCCAGTATGGCCTACGGCATCGCCGAGCGGTACCCGAGCGTGCTGGATCTAGTGCGCGGGATGCGTCGCGAGGGGCCCGGGCTGTTGGAGGATGTCAAGGTATGTTTTTTCAGCCCTCTGTTTCCATGGTGTGGTGCATGGGGCTGTCCGTGGGAGTGTGAGTCGGAGACCGAGGTTGAGGCTAATGTTCCCGGATGGTTTGCAGAAATCCGCGAATAAGAACGGCGCCCTTACGGATTCGCGCATTGGGCCCGCGGCGAGTCGACGGTTGTACAAGGTGTTTATGGGGATGGAGCCTTCGTCTACGGATGTTTGAGACGGTGTCCAACTAGCCAGGTAGGGCTCGGTAGGGCTCGGTAGAGGAGGTACCTAGTTGGGTGGTTTCCCTTTGTGGGGTGGTGTACCCTCTAGACCAGGGTAACCTTAGTAGTATTGTCAGATCTCCCTGTCTAGTTGGCGTGGCGTTTACATGGACAATGGATGGTTCTTCAAATGAATTGTTACAAACCAAAAGCGAATAGATGCCATAACTCATGACCTAGAGTGACAAATTGATTCAGATCCTTGGGCAAGAAACCAACAACCCCAGAATTGACACAAGGCTATGTATGCTCAGTATGCATGTGGCTGGACACAAGAGTTCCAAATATGACAACACAAAAGTCAAACGAAGAGGAAATCCCGATCTATATACCAAAGATGTCATAGGTCAATATACCACAAAGATCAGCGCTTTCCAGAACCAAACAAGACGCAAGCCAGATGTTAAGGTAGACGGCAATATTCCGTCCCTCAGAGTCAAACTACAACCCCCCGTCTCCGCCAATGCCGCCAGGCCACCAACCAGGCTCCGATGGCCACCCAGACGCTCACGGTGCATCCCACCGCCCAGAGCCCGTAGCACGACCAGCCGTGACACTGACCGTCCGCCGTGCCGCTCCCGCCGTCCGTGGCGTCCTGGTAGCCGCGCGAGTAGATCAGGCCCCAGGCCGCGGCGCCGGCGGCGGGGACCATCGCGACGATGCCCCAGTTCGTGCCGAAGTTCTCCACGCCCCAGACCACGGAGATGATGATGGGCACGAGGGAGAAGGCGCTACCGTAGCCGAGGCCGACCAGGGCGGTCGTAATGTGGGTGAGGGCCGGGTAGTCGAGAGGCAGTGGGGAGGCGAGGAGGAGGTAGCCCAGGGAGAGGAGGAACGCGGAGGGGAGAAGGAACGCAAGGCGGGTGAAGGTGACTCGGTTGCAGGGGTCCGTTGGGGACGCCGGCCGATTGATGTCCGGGTTGCCTCCGGGCAACAGGTGACGGGCGTGCGGGGCGAAGAAGTCGGAGAGTGAGCCGGTGAGCAGTCGGGCGATCGTCGAGGTCAAGGCGACGGTGGTGACGTGCGTGGAGGGGAGGCCCGCGGGGGACGGGGCATTGGGGAGGGTGGAGATGGGGGTTAGGGTTTGTACAATTGTGCCCAGCTGGAGAGACGTGAGTATGTATTGCATGCCAGATTAGGTTTGTTTCGTGCGGCAAGGAAAGTACATACGTTGTTGATGTAGGCCTCGCCAGGTCCAGTAACCAAGAAGAAGCCCACTGCAAGCCACCACATGGACCGGTCTGCAAGAAAAACCTTGGTCTCGTAGTTCAAAAGCCAATTCTTCTTCCTGCGTTCCTCCTCTTCCCTCTGCTTGTCCAGTCTTGCTGCTTCCAGCTCCTCTTCCGACCGTACAAGTGTGCGTTCCTCGTCCGAGTCGCCCACATCGTCTGCCTGTGAGAATGTCCCGTACACCGATCGGACCTCATCTCTCGATCGGAAGAACTCACTTTCTTCGAGGAGCCCGCTCCTCTCGAGTTCCTCCACCGCGTCATCGATGAATTTCTCCTCATCTTCCTCCACGATCTTCAGGGCGAACGTACCGACGACGCCGATGCAAAGCAACAGGAGAGCGAGGAAGACAAAATACCTGTACACATCGACATCGCCACGGCTGCCATCTTCGTTGCGTTCATAGAGCAAGTATGTTCCCACTTGACTCTGCCACATGCCACTAAGCCCAAACCCGGCAATCGGAACGGCCAGCATGATCCCCTTGTGCTTGCCGCGGCCGAAATTCTTCGCGCATGTCGTCACGGCAGCCAGATACATGCAGCTGGTGGCGGTGCCAATGGCGATGAAAGCCACAATCATCACCCAGAAGGGCCAGCCTTGGCCACCGGCATCGGGCGGCGGTCCGCTCCGGTAGGCAAAGGCAGCCAGCAGGTAGCCGGCCCCGAACACTATTCCGGAGAGCAAAGCCAGAGGAGACGGAGAGTATCGGTCGCAGAGGTACCCAAACAGGGGAACAGGGAGGTACATCGAGACCTCCGCGGCGATCGAGACCGCGTTGACCCGAAGCTGGGTGTAATGAAGGCGGGTCAGCAGAAGGGGACCATAGAGAGAAAAAGCCGTGATGCTTCCAGCTCCCAGACTGATAGTGATTGATAGCTTATTAGCCAGAGCTCCGCAAACGGTCGCGTTACACAACGATTAGACCTTACCAGGTAATCACTCCCCAGACGAAGCTGCCAATACGGACGACTTCCCTGGCCATCTTCTTGCGATCGCGTTCGAGGATCTCTTCGACCACATCGTTCAGCAGCCCGTCCTCGTCGTTGGCCGCGGCGAGTCTTGATACTGGTCGTGACCGGATAGCTCCGTGCTCCTCCACGTCACCGCCGGCATCGAACCCATCTAACAGAGGACGGTGAGAGTCGAAGTCTCGCTTGTCGATGGTCGAGACGGTTTGTCCATTGGATCCTGTCATGCTGCGTGTCGTGCTTCAACTTCTTTAGAAATTCTAGGACTCAAAAGGGGGAATGACAGGTTTGAAGCAGCAAGCCAGACACAAAGGCGTGGCTGCGAATGTGACTCCTCAGGTGGAGGCGGACTATGGTCATCCGAGGAAAGGACCGAGAGTGGTTTAGCAAGAGATCGTCGAAGAGCCTCGGGACAGCTGAGGGTGACAGATGACCAGGGATTGCTACTGTACCAGAGTTAGAGGATGTAAATCAATGCAGGCTTAAACTCTTATGGATTTAAGATGGAATTACCGAAACAGGAGCTAAGCTGTCGGGGAGGGAGTGTGGAGTGTTGAGAGTCGAAGGAAGGGGAAGCCAAGCCGAGGAATGATGCGCGATTAGATAAGGTCCGCGCCGCCTTATCGCCAGAGCACGTGATTGCATCATTCATCAATCCAATCTCCCCCTTGCACAACCACCTTGCCTCGCCTAGCCAGCCTATAGTCAAGCCTTAGGAAGTTGAAGTCCTAACGTAGAGTGTGAATTATGAGTTCTTGTCTAGCTACTGCGCCCATATGTATGTACACAAGTACCACAAGTCTCGAATATTACCCTGTCAAACTGATTTAAACAGAAAAAAAAAACGAGTAAGAACAAAGCCACAATTAGAAACCCCAGAGCTGTGCACCTACTCCCAGGAGGTATAGAGCAGTAAAACATGTCCAAGAAAGGAGCAACCGGAAATGACCATCAGAAAACACAGACAAGGTAACGGGTCTGAAAAACAATTTCATACATGCCATGTGAATATGGCTGCAATACAGTAACCTTCCCCTACCATGCTCCAGGCATGAATAGACGAAGATTTGGATTAGGTAGCATAGTGCCGTTATGATTCGTCAATATCGTTTCGCTTGCGACAGGATGACAGGTCATAGCCGTCAATTACTGACAGCAAGTCCGCTGTCACGAAACCAATCCCCGCATTGCTTGCTCGGGCAGAACATCGAGTAAGGTGTGGAAATGGTGGGACGTTGAGTCGAGGCGGCTGCTAGGCAGATGATCAAAGGAAAGGGTTGTCGCTCGCGGGAATCATTCCAAACACGAGGATCAACCACTAAAAGCTGACCTCGCCGGGATCACTCTCCATGACGTTTTCGTCCCAAAACCGCTCCGATGATTCGTCTTGGTCCGAGTGTCGAGATCCGAGAGCAATAGCCTCACCCTCGCCTCTTTCTATGTAGTCATCGTGGCTGACTTCTTTCAAGATCCGTTGAAAGTACATTCGTAGAGTCCGAAGACCGCGTAAGTAACCACGATCAATATCGTCGGGATGCTGGGGCGGACAAGGAGCGTCGGGAGAAATCTCGTCCTCGCCTGTGACACAGTTTGCGAAGTCCACGATTTTCAGCTGCACATCTAGATAGCCATCATCAGAGCTCCGACGTTGCAAGTTATCTCGCATGGTGCCGGACCCTGACCGACCATTGACTTGGGTAGCTCCATCTGTCGGCTTTGGGTCACCATCGTAGAGGATCAGAAGGCTGCTGGCATACAGGCGATAACGCTTGAGCCTTCTGATCATGTTCTCCAGTCGTGCCAATTTCTCAAGGATGACAGGAATCTTCTTTGTCACGCTTCGCTGACTAGCACCATCGTAAAGAAATCGGGTAAGAGCATCCTGGAATTCACGCCCAGCCTTTAGATCGCGACCAAAGTATTTGTCCTCGAATGAGTACTCTTGTTTCTTCACATTCCACGTTTGCATACCACACAAACGGACACCTAGCTGCTGGGAAGTTGTTGACTGGCACTTGCGTCGTTGAGATTTACGCTTTTTCTCATCAGCCTCAATGCCGTACTGACGCGTTCCCATCTTTAGATCGAGGACGCAAGGCTTGTTCATGCCGGCTGTCAAATCCTCCAGCAACAGGAAAAATTGAACCCTGTCATCCTTCCGTGTCTGCGCTTCTTTGGGATTGGATGGGAGCAGTACGTGATCATCATGCCTAGAGCCCTCTTCCGAAGGTTCAATCAAGGTCTGGTCGGCGGGCTTGGCGGCAACAGCAGTCTTGGGGTTGGGGAGAGGCGGTCCGAATTGGTCAGTCATTCGACGTCCTGATGGCGATTTGACGGATACATCGCCCTCCATTGGGAAGACACCGTCTTCCTTGTCGCCTCCGTACCCATCGTCGTCATAAAACAGCAGCTCGCCTCCACCTTCTCCAGAGCCTAAGCTGCCCCGTCTCTGCAATCCGCTCCCTGAACGGCGGCGCCTCATGGGCCGACTTCGCGAAAGTGAACTAGCACGGGGGGGGGACTCTTCAGTTCGGACCTTCTCAAGTCGACTGTGGCCTGCATCCAAGGCCGTAGATGCCGATGAAGACAGCCCCGGCCCGTCAGTTGTCTGCTTTGCAATGTCGATGCCAGCAGCGAGCGTCGGCGCGTCTTCAACAGAAGCAGTACGACGACTCAAAGTTCGGTCTTCAGAGAGATTAACTCTACGGCGAATGCCGTCTGATGATGTCCTTGGCAGGTTCAGATGACCACGTGCGTGGCGTCGGTGATGGTGCACAGCAGGGGGACTGAAGACTTCACGGAGTACTTGCTCTTGCAACTGTCTGTTGACAGTTGTCGCGCCCCACTGCTTCTTTTTAAGCACCTGGGGAGATAGTGGACCATCAGCCAAGCATTCATGTCCGTTTTGTCGGCTTGACATGGATTCAATTCCGGTCGAGAAGCGTCGCTGCGTCATCGACCCATCGGCAGTCCTTGGACGCTGACAATGAGAGAATAGATCTGCTGGAATAATATGTCTGTTGTTTTCCAGTATCACTTGCGGTATGATGCCAGTGACCTGCTTCTGACTGAAGATACGTGGCTGACTGGTGTCCTTAGAGGGGCATGAGCTATTTGCAGCCGTTGAGTCTTTGTTGTCAGCAGGGTTAGAATTGCTCGCAGTATGGTTGGTGTCTCTGTGTTCTCCGTTGGTTTTAGTCGGATCCTTGGGTCGCTTTGGTGTCTTTGAGAAAGTGACATTGAGAACGCCAATGTATCTAGCGACAATGTAAGTAGAAGGTCGTAATGATTTGCGGAATTGAACAGATGGCATTTTATACGTGCCTTGGCAGAAACATCAGCATTTCGGGGTGTCGGCGCTCAATGCGCTCGTAGAATTCATTCTCCCTGTTGTTGAGCTGTTTGCATACAGCCCGTCTAGAAAATCGAAATACGGTCGTATGGCCACCCACTTGATGACGATAGGGTTTGAGCTCCACTGCGCCGAGAGGTGCGGCGTTACTATGCTTGCGCCGCGCACGAGGAAACCTCGGGCCCTGGGTTGGGGTGGCAGTGGGCGTGACATCAGCTTCGTCTGTCAAGCTCGATTCCTCGTCCCGAACAGACATCCCACTATCGTCAGCGGATGCAAACTCAGATTCGCATGTCGAATAATAATCAGTGGTGCGCTCGGGAATGGAAGCATGAGGCTCTTCATTAAGTTCTTCTATTGGAGCACTCTGCATGCCCTGTAGGTCGCCGTGGAGGATTCTACTATCATTTTTAGAACGAAGAGATATGTCCACATGATTACCTTCCAGGTCATCAGAAACATGTCTCTTTGGCATCCGAACGTGGCCGTTCTGCGCAGTCGAGATATCGATTGGAGCCCCACCATGTTCAGTGTCCGCATACGGCGGGATGGAATCGACCTCTTCTGCTATCGTGACACGCTCATGAGGGAAATAGACGGCAGAGGATATTTGTTCATCCTCTTCCTCTTCCAAAGGACGACGCTGTTCCCGGTCCGAGTCAGATCCGGACAGGTGAGAACCCAGAATGCCTTGGCTTGCATGGTCTTTGGAGAAATAGTCTCGCCCCCTCTCAGCGAATTGGGTAGGGATACTCCGTGAAAAGGAAGTGCCACGGGCTCCGCCGGGTGTGAGGTGAAAGTTGCGGATCTCCTCTAGAAGGCTTCGGGGTAGAGCCCGAGGCTTTGATTTCTTGACGTTGTCCCCGTGCCTCATCTGACTTATATCACTTTCTATACTTGGCAAGATCAGTGGAGCATCAGCGAGCGATAGCTGTGACAAACTCTTGGTGTTTCTGAGTTCCCCTTCGTCAAACGGGAATGAAGCCTCCAGTGGGGAGTCACAATGCTCCAGGGCAAAGCGAGGCTCCGAATGAGTGACCCGATGGTGTGGATCATTCGGCTCTGTGGAATCATCGTGTCTGCCGGCGCGTTCCTCTCTTCTTTTACGATCAGGAGAGGTAGTGTTTTCCTTGAACAAGCCTAAGTAGTGACTCGACTTACGGCTGCGCACATGGGAGGCGGGTTCCGCATTTGCCAGGTTGGCTTCAATTGATTGCTCGACTCTGCCACGCCGGCTACGACTCGAACTTCGTTCCGGTCTGTTCTCACGTGTGCCCTCATGTGGTTGCGACATCGACCAGGCATGGTGGGCTGTGTCGACACTGGTTACAGGAGAGTGCACGCCAGGCGAAGAGACAGAGGAGTGTAAGGGTGGCAATGGCGGCAATGGCGCATCATGAAGGGAGGCTGACAAAAGACTGCGATGGGCTAGATGATCCGCCAACGCAGCCGGCTTGTTAGCAGCACCATCAGAAGAAACTTTTCTAAGGGGTTGCAAGCTCTCCCATGCAGAAAATGGGGCACTCCGATGTGCCAACCCCGATTGCTCGTCCACAATGGTGTCCGAGTCTACCGGGAGCAGAGGGGTAGAATGCGGGACCCCCGGCGGAAGCAAAGAAGGAGTGTCTAGCGGATGCTTCCTGCGGACGTCAACTTCCATGTGGGAGGTGCCGACGCGATTAGAGCGGGGAATGACCTTGTGAGGAGAATCCGAAGAAGCAAAAGCAGACACATCCTCAAGCAGAGGAGTCAGACTTGCAGGTGGTTCATGATTTGTATCTTCTGAAGGCGATAATCGCGGGGTGGTGCTAGGGTCGGTCTCGGAAGGCAGATAATGAGTTGCGAAGATGCTATCTCTCTCTGACAACTGTGGGCTATGAGAGCGGTCGGGACGGGACAGCCTTTCCACGGGGGCTGCAGTGGGCCGTTTTAGAGGAAAGGTAGAGGCGGGCTTAGCCCATTGATGAGCCGTGGGAGATTCTGCGCGGGATGGAGAAGGAGCTTGCTGGGCATCTTGATGTATGAGCTGGCTCCGAGTATCGTTGTGGCGCCGCTGCTGGTCGCGCGGGAGGTCGGGCCCTTCAGAGCAATCATATTGGGCAGATGCATCAGGTGTCACCAGGGGTCCTGACCAGGTATTGTCTGTCGCGGATGGAGGTCTTGACATGGGGGGGACATTGGTCGGGATGCACAATGAGGACAGGGTGGGAAAGGAGCCGAGAAGGAGAAGAAACGCTGTTGGGATTGGAAGAATATGGTTGGGTGTTTCACTCGGGGGGAGGCGGGAGAAAGGGAGCTGGCGTCACTGGGGGTTTAGCAACTGGAGACGATCGAGAAGATCAAGAAAACATTAGCCACGTTCTGGGGCATAGACACCTTACAGGCTGGAAAGAAAGACTTTGAGTGGGGATCGTCTGTTTTTTTCCCCTTTTTTTTCTTTTCTTTTCTTTTTTTTTTTGGTTGTTTTTGGTCAGGGTCCGGGAAACTCACTGACAGGCACGAATGAGGCGTTATCGTGGCTTGGAAAAGAAGTAGTACTGGGTAATAAGGTCGAGGGGGTGGGAAGGAAGAGAGAGAGGGAGAGAGAGAGTCGGAATGACGGAGGCGAACTATTCTAGACTAGCTAGTTGGGGACGAGGAGGAAGTACCTAAGAAGTCGGTAATCTTCTAGGGCAGTAAGGCGCAGTAGCCGGAGGAGAAGAAGCAGGAAAAGTGAGGAGAAGGAAGCAAGCAGTAAGCCGCAGGAGTACAGAGGTAGCTGCAGCAGTAGACAGAAAGCCAGTCAAGTAGGTTCAGGCAGCCAGATAGATTGAAGAAAGATACTCCGTCTCAGAATAGTAAAGCAGGGAAAGGTCCAATTCAAGGTTAGGTAGGTAGTAGTAGTAACTTAGTAGTAATTAATCCGGAGTAGTAAGTACTGTATGCAGTGGAGTGAGTAGGTAGTTGGTAAGTTCAAGGTTAGTAGTAGTAGTGAAGAAGGAAAGGAAAGTGAACCAAAGGAAGAGAAGCGTTTGGCTGAACCAACTAAACGACAAATGACGCGGATCTTCGTCACCGCCTTTGTGGATCCTCAGCTAAATGTCTTTTCAAGTTATGACTGGTCACTGTTCCCTCGGGAAAATGATAAGCAACAATGGTGGAAATGGAAAAGGAGTCCAGAGCAAAAATGGGAATTCAATTCAGAAACTTTAACAAAGAAAATATGTGAGTTGAAACAAGACCAGATGGTGTCCGGAGTACGGAGTAAGAAGAAACAACGCTAAATGAAGGTTGTTCCTTAAGGATGCTTGCTCTTATTTCTTCTACTACTCCGTACAGCCACCACTTTAATGTTTTTAAAACATCTCCCTGCCTTTGCACCAGTCACAAACTAATACCTTACTGTTCAACTAACTATTAGTCACTACACTAGATAGCTAGTTATGGAGGATTGAGCAGATGAGGAAATCAATAATCACCTGCCAGGATGCGCTTGGGGTCCCAATTATATCACTGTGTATCCCTGGATCCAGATGCCCCAAGGAGAAATAGGAAATGATTTAGCTAATAAGAATCCTCCAATCCAGCAGGTGATTGTGAAATGGCTGTAGGTACTGAAACCTTACGGAGAAGGCAAATTCCCTCCGCAGTACGGTCTCTCCCCCTACTCCCTATTCTTAGTACCTCCCTACAGGCTATTAGTATGCAGCAGTCCTCTCTGGATAGAGCCTCTTGTCGTAGGAAGCTCAACAGCATGTCCTCGTCTGATCATTCCTGAGTGACTTACCAGACACTTTCATGCTGAGGTCCCGTGGACGCTCTCTGACATATGATTGATGGTCGATAAGAACTTAAAGCCAGCTTTCATGAGTCTTGTCTTCTATTCAATTAGCCTACGGCAAGGGCTGTCGGGACACTCGGAATGCAGCTATGACGATAAAAGTACTCGACCGGCCATTCTCTGAGCTGAGGGAATTATTGTCAGCAATACATCCTATGAGTGAGTCAATCACTGGTGAAGAGTCGCTTCCCTGAATATGTGACCTGTCTTCTCGGGCATCATACTGCATCCTCGCAATGCTTGCGAATAGATATTCATATGTGCAACCGTCTTGTACAACCTCATTCTTTTGGAGGCTTTTTTTTTCGAATCGCCTTGCATATGTACTGTACCGAGTTCTCGGATCCCGGTGGGGTTGCGATTTGGGGAATCCGCTAGATGCGATGCTAGACCGTCCGATAAGCGATAGATACCTTGTATAACCAAATCATAGAGAAGAAATGAATCAATTGATAGATAAGGAATTCTGCTCAATATCCATTGTTGTACAGAGTACATACTCCACATCCCTGCATGGGTTGTGATAGCCATTAGATAAGGTCGGAAGAAAGGAGAAATGGCTAGTATGGGTGCATAAGCTGTCGCCAGGCAGTCGATAGTTACTATGAGTTCAGTACAGAGTACATCTCAGTAAGAGGAATTTGTACTGAGCACTGTGCAATGTACGGAGTACTCCGTAGTTTTGTGCAATACTTCCCCACCCCCGCCGCATGACCCGTTCCGCATTCAAAGTTCCAAGTTGGATCCCAGACCCTCCCGTTTGATCTACCAATCAATAAAAAACGTGATCGTCCGGCTGGTCAACGGGGTCAATGGCCTCTGCCGTATGAAGTACCTCAGGCATTGAGAATAATGCCGGACTTTGGTGCCTTATCCTGGATTCAACCAAAGACCCCAGATCCACCACCCTCAAGTTTCGGTTTCCATTGAACCTAATCGAAGTTTGAAACTGCAATCTCGACCTTCTCTCCACTTAAGGCTCGAACCATTGTCATGTTTTCATTCACTATTCCCAGCTTGCGAAATGTGAAATCTCTACATGCCGTCATATGCGCTTTTCCTCAGGATTCAGATGCTGACCCTGCACGACTTGGGCCAGAACGACTAAAAGTGTTGACGTCTCATCACTTTCTCAGCCATTCGATAGGTGCTATCGCACGCAATATGCATGCTGTGAGTGAGAGAGGTGGCAGTTGTGCTATGAGCTCGTATGCCATCTAGGACTAAAATGACCTTATCAGTCCTTGTGCGTGTCATTCTATGGGATACAGTAAGTTGGCTGCATGCCGGGCGGACCTTGGAATCTCAATCCAATTGCTGGAGCTCTTATCTCTGGTCTGCATCGCTGCTGCTCGTCTCTGGAATCTCTGGGTGCGCTATCACTCGAGATGAATTCATCAACAAATTCCTCAACAAAGGGTGGCCACCGACGCCTTGCATGACTGGATTCACTCATCCTGCTGGTGCCATTAGGTTTGCCTTATCAGGAAGGGATTAATACGCAGGGTAACTCGAACTGGGAGGTGGGCTTGATGTGCTTCGCCTGGTCGATCCAATTTTCGAGTTCTCAGTGAAAGCCCCTGAAGTTTCGTTCTTGGCGGTAGGACGGAGCACTTGCAGGACTTATGCTCTCCTACAATCGAAACTAATATCACCCCTCGGCTCATTAGTTATACTCTATGCGTATGAGGGTAGCTTCACAGCTCTATTCCACTGACCCGAGGCTGTTACCCGGCTTTTTCACTTTCGAAAGCTGCCCGGTTATATGTCAAAACAGCTTGCCTTACACATATCGAGTCTCCAGTCAACTCATGTCCAGTCTCCATTGTGAGATATAATTTGCCCTGAACATCGAATATAGTCCTCAAAAAATCAACACTCAGCTCTCTTTGGTCAGCTATAGTAAGAACAAGAACGAACCACGGCGCAATGTGTACTATGCAGTGGATATTTGCCAAAGCTATCGATCTTTCAGTATCAAGTTTATTGGCGATGTAAGAGAGGGTCGATTGAGTCCACTAGTTCCACACACCGTCGCTTCAGTTGACTTGGTATAATGGCGCGCGTACGGGTGTAGAGGATGATTAAGGCCTGCGATTCTTCTATACTAAGACGATGTCAGGTGAGAACAAATAACTACCTTAGGTACGGCACATCCTCTTGTCATGTGATGGATGGCGCCTGCACCCAGCGGCTATTTCAGACGGGGAAACGGATATCTTTCCCCAGACCGCATCGCCTGAGCACCCGAACGAAGTACAGTAGTTACAACATCCATGGATATGAAACATCTGAGTTAATCGATCGTTCAAGTGACGCGCAGTCTGAACTCAACAGCCGTGTTCCGAAGGCGATGCTCTGGTACGGAGCCATAGACATGCCACACCCACCAAGCGGTTCCCGATTCCAATCGACCAGCAACAGCGAGAACACAAATTTCTCGGCCTGTCAATCCTGTCTGCTTTAAGTCCAATCAACCAATTCATTATGTCACTGGAGGGTATATTACCGCCACGCTAAGAGATGTGTCAGTGGCTAGTGGTGAGATTCTACATTTCTGCGGTGCAATTTCCTGATTTCCTCCAATGTCATTGGGACTTGAGCGCATCGGCTCCCATCCCTAATGTGACGGCGCCGACCGTGATGTGATGAGACGTGCTTGAAGGCGCAACGGGAACTTCCGAATGATCACCAAACCAACCGAAGCAGTTTCTGGTGTGAAAGGTCCCAGAAGTGTGCAGCCTAAGGACTGTTCGGCGCAACGACTACCCTGATAATTGAAGCTCTGTCCATTTAGATCCTGGTCTCCCCGCTACGAGGTTGTCATCTCACGCGCTCTAAACTCCACCCCGGGAATTCGTTCTCCCAATGCAGGCTACACATAATGCAGTTGCCTGCCACATTGCTCTTGCGCCGTCTTTAATTCTGCTTGCATCTTGAGATTTTGTCGTTTCTGAAATAGATGCCTTCCGCGGATCACTTCCGGGGAGGGCCTGTCTCGCTTCGATACATGTAGTATCTCACGGAACAATTACATGCGAGCAAGGAATCCGAGCCCTCGCTACTTTCCCCTTGAGAGAATTCGTCTCATGCTCACCTAGAGCTGGAAACAGATCACAGGAATTGCATACCATCAAGGGGTCCAGAGAGACATCTTGGCGAACGAAAAACCAGACAATCATCAAGATGAACAGGCAACTCCATCTGGATACTTCCAGTCCAGACAATTTGAACGGTGGGAGTCAGAGATACTCCTTTCTTGCAACTCCATCGGAGATGCATGCACCCGGAGGAGTAATCAGGCAGACAGCCTTGCCAACGAGCGCACCGAGCAACCTCCCAGCAGAGCCGAGGAGCGTGCCAGAACAGACACAACTACCCTTAAACGAGAAAACACAGCACTTGAGTGACGATGTGGGCCTCTATGCTTATCCAGGCGGGCCGAATATTCAGCATCATCCTGCGAATTATGCTCCATTTGCCGATGAAATACCTCAGCCAGCCAAGGCTGAAGCAGTGGTACCTGACTACTCGTATGCACATCCTCCGCAAAGCCCAGGGCCGCTCCCGGTCAAAGTCAACCCGGAAGCCTCAGGACAGGTACTGGAAAGTCATTCCACGGCAGTTTCGCCTGATACCAACCCATTGAATTCCACTTCACTGCCTCAATTTCCTCCTCCAGTTGCATCGAACCCATCCGCTACACCAGCAGCGCATGAAATCATGGCTTACCATCGGCCGGGACAAATCTTACACCCTAACCAAGCCATTAAAGGGGGTTTGTGGAAGACCAGTTTATGTGGCTGTACAAACATTGGCTCATGCTTCCTGGGCCTGTTTTGCCCTTGTATTTCCTATGGGAAGACGCAGCATCGACTGCAGACAATGTCCCGGGGAGACGACCCTACGAACATGCTCGGATATAATGTCTGCAATGGATCATGTACAGCAATGGCCCTATTTTGCGGCTGCCAATGTGAGTAAGATAATTCCCAGCTGCAACTCTTCCGTGCAACGAGCTGACCCAGCATCTTAGGGCTACTAGCTACAATCCAGCACCGGCGAGTGCGCAAAGCTTACAAGATCGAAGGCGATTTCATATCCGACTGCATTCGAGCAACCTGCTGTACGTGCTGTACCTTGATCCAAGACGAAGTTGAGATAATCAAACGAGAGGAGGAGCGCGAAAGGCTCGCCAGAGTCTCTGGAGCAGCTCTCGTATCACCATACTTAGCTCCAGTGCAAATGTCGTACGGGCCACCGCCCAGATGATGGTCTAGTCATACATATCGCGTAATACTCTCACGAAAGACAATGTATATATTCGAATCTGCCTCGTTCTGCAGTTCTATTATTTTCCCTTGCGATGCAAGGAAGAGAAGACAAGACATTAGATAAATATTCGACTAACCAGTGTCAACTTGATCTGAGTATGACAATGTCCTCGCCTGGCAACCAAGCATGCATGCTGACCTACGTGTCCAATAATTCTGTCATAGCTTATGGTTGAGTCGGTATATTCTGGTCTCTGCTTCGTACTATACTCTGCATGTGCATTATGACCTGTCGCATGTCACAAATACAAGCCTCGAAAGTTCCGTCTTGGGGCATGACATATATCGATCATCAAAGTAGATAACACCGTCCTGTCTCGCGAAGCATTCAACTTGTTGAGTGACGTAAGTTCAAGCGAACTTCGAAAGCTATGCTCACTCCCAAACCCCACGACACATTGCTTATACCGAGTAAAAGGGAGAATAGAACGAGGACGTCATGTCTTTCTTGGTGATGGGACCCCCCTTTAGGCGGTGAGCCCTGGGGTCGGCCCGGGGAATCTGGACCGCGGTGGCGGTTCTTCTGTCGGACTTCACCTTCGACCAAACCCAAGTCTGGTTCATAGATCTGTCTCAGTCGCTTATTTCTTATCAATCTCTGTCGCTATCCAAGCCCTCACACGGTGTGCGATATCTGCTGGGAGATCCACCATCAATTCGAAGCATCCCTAAGTCCAAGGTCCTCTACAGGCGAACACGATCGCTCCGTGCTCTGCTCGCATTCCCCGACCGTCGGCAATCGATAGAGCGCTTCCGACCTATCGCCATTATGGGTGTCTGAACCTGCTGTGCGACGACAAATTCTTACTGGCATTGATGACATTTCCTACATATGATTTTGTGGCGTGTGTGGCCTGCTTTGACCGCGACGTGAAACGTCCTGGTAGCCTGTTCGATTATGGAGAATGACGGGCACCTGGCCCCTCGCCAGATTTGGGTTCAGCCAACGACAACGACAACCAGGGCATACGAATCAGGCTGTACTCCATTTCTACTACCAAGCGATGGTATGTCAAGGCCAAATAATCTTCGGGGAAGGCAACTCTCGTCGACCCCGGATGGTGGCACATGCCTCCCCCGCTTTCTCCGTACTGTGACATTGAAACTGACGCGGGTTCGGCGCTTCAATCAGGCCATGTTTATTTGAATCGATCCTATGCGATTACTTTGACCGAAAATGCGATTTACGAACCGGTCTGTACCAGTACAGCGACTGCCACGCAACATGCGGTCGCGGCGCTTGACACCACCGACCCCTTTTACTCTTCGGTAGCGCCCCAACTGTACGCCATGGGCTGCACGACTGTGGTCAGCTACTTGCTCGTCATCATTCTTCTCATCACGCCGCGCACGTTCTATGTTGGTGGTCCTGGTGGTGGCGCGAACTTATTGGGAAGGCGCGGCATGATCACCGGTTCATACAGCGGTAATTCTTCGGTGGTTGGCGTGGGTGGTCGCCCTTGGCTACAGAAAGTCGCAGCGCTGCTGGTAGCTGTATCGCTCACAATTGCTACTGTGGATTCATTCCGGGTCGCCGAACAACAATATTATTATGGGTACTCTGACGCTGAGGCGTTAGCTGACGAAGTCATTGATGGGATGGAGATCCGAGTTGTTCGAGTCATCTCGAGCACGTTTCTCTGGCTTGCTCAAGTTCAGACTCTAATTCGCCTCTTTCCCCGGCACAAAGAGAAGGTCATGATTAAGTGGGCAGGATTCGCATTGATCGTGTTCGATACCACATTCAGCATCCTGGATAAATTCCTGGTGAAATCTCATACCACGCGTCCGCGATTATACGAAGACGCGATACCGGCGTTGAGTTACCTCTTCGAGCTTGCTCTGAACTTGCTCTACGCCGCCTGGGTCATTTTCTATTCTCTCTCGAAACACCGATTCGCTTTCTTTCATCCGAAAATGAGGAACATCTGCTTGGTGGCTCTTTTGTCTCTGTGCGCTGTCCTTATACCGGTCGTCTTTTTTGTTCTGGATATGGCGAAGCCAAAGGTTGCTGGGTGGGGTACCTATGTTCGATGGGTTGGATCAGCTGCAGCGAGTGTCGTTGTCTGGGAATGGGTGGAACGGATCGAAGCTCTGGAGAGAGATGAGCGGAAGGATGGCATCTTGGGACGGGAGATATTTGATGGAGACGAAATGCTCGAAGTAACTCCTTCCGAGGAGGTCGATTGGCCTCGTTACAACCCCAACAATAATGATCGCGGCGGTGGTGCTGGCATGTCCTCCGGCTGGGGAGGTATGATGGGCCTGGCTCATCGTCCTCTGCGAACCAGAGGTGGGCGCAATTGGCAGTCTAACTTGGAGAACCAGACAAATCTTGCATCCGCTGACGCTAGGCGCCGGAGGATTGTTTCGCGGCCAACCCCTCCACCTGCGGCCCTCACTCCCGTCAGTCGGGCCGATACTACAAGTGCCGCCAGTACCGTGTACAACGTGCATTACCACCCCGTGTCCAGTCCGACGCCACCAGTTGCGATGCCACATATGGAGGAGGAAGAAGAGGGGATGGACGATGAAGTGGCTGCCAAGGAGATGGCAACAGCTATGGAGAGCCAACAAGCTGGTCTAATTCATGATAGATTGTCGGAACAGCAGACCAGAGAACAATCTCCTCAAATTGTTCAGTTGGACAAGGGGTGGCGAACTTTATTGAATCCATTCAAACGAAGACGCGCATCTCTGCCAAAAGAGGTTGCTTCAGCACAAGCGAGAGAAGAAGCCCCTGGATCGCATCCTACTGGAGAGGATAATCCCCCTCCGGACCTTCCCTCGGACGACAGCGATGATGAGTACAATTCTCGACCCAATCGAGCTGGAGCTTTCTTCCCGATCCCGAAACGATTGCGACCCGGCTCTGGACGTCAAGGCTCAGGTTCTCCACTGCCAGTAACTGTCATCCCTGCGAGACGGCGAGGACAGCAAACCTGGTCGCCGCAGCATTTCAATGATAGTGGTATTTTAGAAACGACAAACTCCAGTCAGCGGGCCCCCTCGGGGCGTGCTGAAGGTCGTACGGACCTGCCTTTGAGAGTCATCCAGCCGCAAACTCGAAGCGCTGCGCCCTGGAGCGTAGACGATGGCAATATGTATCAGGAACTGCGCTATGATCCCGAGGCAGCGGCTCTAGTGGGCTTTGATGATTATCGCCCAGATCAAGCTTCAACTCCTGCTGCTTATTTCATTTCGGAGCCGGCTTTGGACGACAACACTGATGGGCGCCAACTAACGGGTGCAGACGAAAATCTAACAGAGCCATCACCCTCGCCACAGTCTCCTCATGCTCAATCGAACGGCAATCCACCAAATCGTGTCACACGATCCCAGCAATAATCGGACATCGTGCCACACTAGGACTCATACCCCTCGTGCTTTTATTTTTATATTCTCGGGTTAATGCTTACATGGATGCTTCAATTAGCGGGGAGTATCGGATTTTAACGCCATCTTTCTATATATCACGGTCATCTTTTTGCGTCCATCGAATTGCTCGAGCTATAGTCTCGATGGCTTCTTATTCGGCTGCTACACACTCACTGTTCTCGTTTCGATTGTTCAAACTGGGCTTCGGTCGGTGTCATCTCAGAAAAGGAATTGCTGGTGTCCTAGGCCTTCTCACACCTTCTCACACCTCGCCGACATTGAACATTTCCTGGCGCAGTTTTTTTTTTTTTTTTTCTTTCAAAAAAAAAGATACCCCTTGGGATGCATGTACTACAGACTTTTATATACGTATATATTATTACCTTGAATTTTGTCTCTTTTGGATTGGAAATTTTGGATTCACTTGGAAACGAGCACCTTTTCAGCACTTGTTGAATGCACATCGTCTTAACCTCGCACGTCTCAACCCTACTGATAATTCCTCTGATAAAGATCGATTGATTCAGTGACTCAATTTTCGCTTAGGATCGGAAGCAAGTACGTAAGGACAATTGCGGTCCAGCCCGCTCTGCGTCCCACTCACCCAGAGCCAACTTCCACCTCCATTGGCCTCAACAAGCATACTATACTATACTAATCGCTTTAGACGATTTGCCATGAGATGGGCAGTCGGCAAATTTGCAAGCACGCCATCTTGCACGTCAATGATGCTCGAAATGAAATGCTACAGGATTGTGCCACCAGAGATGAAAATCTCAACCAGGGCTTGCGAGTCGCCCTACAAATAGTCATGATCGCCATTATATGCTCGCACACACGCACATTGCGCTCGCGGATCACTTGTCGAGAGTTTGACCATAACGGATTCTAGACCTTTCGCGATGGCATTTCACGGCAATGCCTCCCCCGAGCTGGGCAAACGGACATGGTATCACACTACATTGTTCAATGCCTTTGTGATCGGCGGAGTGGGCTTCTTAGCCCCGGGGTTGTGGAATGCGATGAGCTCTTTGGGTGCAGGCGGCGCGGAATCGCCGTTCTTGATCAACGCTGCCAATGCATTGGTGTTTGCTCTGAGTGAGTCAGTTCGTGTCGAAGTGCATTCGAACCTGGGGCACTGACATATAGACGTCCGTCGGTAGTGGGTTTTCTGTGCATTTTCGGCGCCCCGATCGCCAACCGGATTGGCTTGAATTGGACCTTGCTGCTGGGAGCGGTCGGGTACCCGATATACTCGTATGTGCCGGGGAGTGGAGGTTCTTTTGGATGATTTGGTAGACTGACAGGATGCAGCGCGGCGTTGTATACGAACAACCGCTATGTGAGTTCTCCTTTGTGAGTTTCTGTGATTGTGTCTAATGACCGGGTTAGGGCAATGTCTGGTTCGTGCTTGTCGGGTCGGTAGCATGTGGATTATCGTGAGTGCAAACCTCCCAAAGTGTAACATCGATCTCCTACTTATGTGTATCAGAGCGGGACTTTTCTGGGCGTCTGAGGGTGCGGTTGCACTTGGTTATCCTGAGCCCGGCAAACGCGGCAAGTATATGAAGTAAGTATCCGCCACAACCGGCTGATACGAGGATGACTGACCCAAGATAGTATCTGGCTGTGGTTTCGGACCGGTGGACCGTTGTTGGGTGGTGCTATCGTCCTGGGTCTTAATCAGTAGGGGTTCCCCAGGAGTCAGACAGAACGTTGCTGACTCGAGACAGTTCTCCTGGGGGCAAAGGCAAGGTTCAGCCTGGTATGTTGCAGCAAATTGTGATTGTTGTATAGCGGCTGCCGACTGACACAGTGTCTAGAGGTATATCTGATTTTCGTTGCGCTACAATGCCTGGCCGTTCCTGTCGCATACTTCCTTTCGCCGCCTGAAAAGGTCCAACGTAGCGATGGGAGTCCCGTCAGGATTATCGCACAGGGCTCATGGCGCGCTGAGATGCACGAGCTCTGGAAGCTCTGCCGTAAGAAGCAGGTAAGTGACTGTTTCATGCCAATAAAGTGCTCATGCTCATGTTATGCGTCTAGGTCCTCTTGTTGTTGCCCGTGTTTTGGGCTGCCTACTTCAACCAGTATATTGGCAGTAAGTCAAGTCGTCTACGCTTCTGCTTCACCTGCTGATATGAGTCTGCAGATTTCGAAACCTACTATTTCAACGTCCGAGCTCGAGCTCTGATGGGCTTCGTTAGTACGTTGCCCCACCTGAAACTTGATCTCTCATCCATCAGCAATCCCGATCAAAAGCTAACACTAATCAGGCAACTTTGCCAACCTGCTATCATCCGGGATCATCAGTCGATTCCTCGATTACAAGGGTCTTCCTGTCAAGAGCCGGATCACATACAGGTATGCCCGCGGCTGTCAATCGTCAAACCCGCCCCTAACTTCCGATAGTTTCTACTACGTCATCGTCGTCCACATCGCAGCCTGGACTTATGGCTGGGTTGTTCAAGAACAATTTACCGCCAACCCTCCAGTCCTGGACTGGACCAGCAAGGACTTTGTGAAGGGGTTCTTCGTCATGATTCTCTGGCGTGCGTCCAGGCTCCCCTTGAAGTACGATCTAGTCCCACTAATATCGTCCTTTGATCCAGAATTCTCCCAGCAAGCTCTGCAGAACTTCATGTACTACCTTGTCGCTACAATGACCGACAATATCTCTGAGCTAGGTGTGTACTCCACGTGCTGACTGCATCATATTACCTATACTGATCCGACCATAGCGCGTTATTCGGGTATCCTTCGCGGGCAGGAGAGCTTTGCTCAGGCCGTGTCTTTTGGTCTGAACACCCGCGATTGGTATGGAGGCAGAGTTCCTCTCGCTGTGAACACGATTCTTCTGGGTATGACTTCTCGCGCTTGTTTGTAGCTACGTTTCGATAGCCGGTTGACTAATGACTCGTGTCGTAGGGCTTGCGGTGGTCCCCACGTGGCTGGTCATCAAGGACCATACTCCGATTGAGCATAGTAAAGATGAAATCACCCAGTCAAGGGGTGATGATGAGGAGGAAGGGTCTAGATCGAGATCTCTCGATGGCGAGAGACAGGATGGCTATGTGGTGAGGGAGTCGACTGCAACGAAGATGGCTTAGATGACAATTGAAAATGAAATCATGGACCAGTTTGAAAGCGTAAAATTGAGCGTGTTTAGATGTAATGAAATTGGAAGTCCTTTGAGAAACAAGACCGCCGCAATAAAGTACCCAAGGTATGGATCGGCTGCGGTGTGTGGTCCACGTGGAGAAGTGGTCGGTTTGTGGTCCACTCCCTCATCCGAGTCGCTCAAGCTTCCGATCTTCACTACCTCCGGGGTAAACGCTCGAGTATAAGTCATTTGACAGACCAGCCATGTTGCGACTAGGATTGTTAGCCTCATTTCTTGATTGACTCCGCTCTCGACTAAGCGGGGCCTAGTCTGTCCACTTGCAAAGAACACAAGATGGGTATGTAGACTGCATACTTTTTTTGATTCTATGGGCGGTTACCATTGCATGTTAGACAACACTTACTAAACAACTGTAGGTTTGACACCGGTCCATTTCTTTTCACATGGCTCTACCATGATGTTGGGCGAGGAGAGCACCTCGGCCGATTACTGGCGCAAGTGTGGTGATGAAGCACTTGCGCATGGGATCGAGGGCGTTGTGATCATGGTAAGGAACAAGCCATCACCGAAGAGACACCAATTTCCCGCCGACTAATAACCACAATCCCTCAGGGAGCCCACTGGGACTGCTTCAACGACCAGATCCAAGTCGCGACGAACCCGAACCCCGGCAAAAGCCCGGTGGCCTACGTCGACCCGGCGAAATACGTCGACTACCCGCTCAACCCGGACCTGGCGACCTCGCAGCGGTGCATCGAGCTCCTGGCGCGCGAGGGCTTTAACGTCAGCGGCAACGCGACCTTCGAATGGATCCACGACGTCTACCTGATCCTGATCCGGATGTTCCCCCGCGGCTGCCCGCCGACGACGGTGATCTCGCTGAACGCGCGCTACGACCCGCACTTCCACCTGAAGGTCGGCGCGGTGCTGCGCCCGCTCCGCCGCGAGAATTACTTGTTGATCGGCACGGGCGGCGCGGTGCACAACCTGTACCGCAACCGCTGGGCGCCCATGCTGCGCTTCCGCGACAACTTCGCCATGGAGACGCCGCCCGAAGCCTGGGCGCTGGAGTTCCGGCAGGCCGTCGAGGACGTCCTCATGAAGACCTCCGGCCCGCAGCTGCGCCGCGCCATGACCCGCCTCATGAAGCATCCGGAGTACCGCGATGCGCATGCCACCGACGACCACTTCATGGCCGCCATGTTCGTGGCCGGGGCGATGGGCGACTGGGAGGATGAGGGTAGTCCCGCGGTGCTGGGCGCCGAGACCTGGGAGTTGACCAATATGTGTAATTCGCAGTTTACCTTGGGGGCGTGGCCGATTAAGGTCTGAACTTTGGGCAGGTTGGAGGGTTGATGATTTTCCTCGGGGAGACTTCGGAGTTGTCTTGGAGTTTTTTTTAGATTAAAGTCTTATTATAGGCACAAGGCTACTACTACTCAATAACGTTACAAGCATGTGCCTTTTTTGACCCTTGCTTGAGTTATGCGCATAATTAGAGTTCCGTGCATCGGAACTGACATGCCATGCCAGAAGCTGAATGTCGCTAGAGATATCGAGTCTAATTGCCGGGAGGGGCACAATTTAGTGATAAGATGATACTTTGTAGGGATGCGATCATATGCTGATAGCGATAAGCAATGTAAATGTATCTCTGAATTTCTAGGGTGTTGCAGAGTCCACGCAGGTAAGCTAAAGTGCGATGAGGATGAGGGGGTCTGGCTGTCTGAGTCAGCCGAGCATAAAAGCTTCCCCGGGATTCCATAATTCCATTTCCCTTCGTCACTCACTCACTCAATTCCCATCTTATCCACTTTCTTTCTTTAATCGCTGCCGCTGCCGCTGCCGCCTCTTTCTTCCTGCTAACTTACCTTAATCCCCGTGCGTAATCAAATGTCTGCCTGTGCCCTGAGCTTCTTCACCTGTCTTGTTTTCACTACAGTCCATGCCACGCCCATCCCCCTTACAGATGTCGCATCATGGCGACCGTGAATCAGAACATGTTTGAAGCCAGTGTCACCACGGATCGGCCCAAAGGTGCTCCGTTACTCGTTCTGCCGCTGAATTTGATCGCTCTCATTATTACCTCCGTGCGTCCCCCACGAGCCCTTGTTATTCTCCGGTAAACATTACTACGTAATATGCTAACCTTCGAGACATCTCACAGCTCGATGATCCTGGTGATCTCGCTCGTCTCTGTCGAACATGCCGCGTGCTTAATTACATGACTCTGCCCCAACTCTACAAGAACATCACCTTGACCTCCTATGACAAAATCCGCTATCGGGATGACCAGCCAGAGGGTATGGGGAGCGCCAGCCCATTCTCCATGGGGCTCAACGCCGTCATCACGCGCCCGTACGCCAACCTGGTGCGATCGTTGACGCTCCGGGGAAATTGGCGCGAGTCGGAGCTGGAGGAGCATGCGCGGGTGGGCCGAGTGCCGGACTCCTCGATGATGCTGAATATCGCGGTGCGGGCGGCGGTGGACAAGATGCCGGACCTGGAGAGCTTCAGCTGGGAGCTCAACACCAAGATGATGGAGACGGTGTATCTGGGGCTGGCACAATTACCCAAACTCACTTCCTTGACTTTGCGGTTTCCGTCGAGCCGCCATCCGCGGCCGACCATCATCATCCCGGCCATCCCCCAACTCCGGTCCCTGAAGATCACCGACATCGATCCACTCTGCTATCCGGACGACATCTCCACGCTGCTGTTCCGGTGCAGGAAGCTGCGGGATCTGAAATTGCACTGGTCGCCGCGCATGCGTATCGAGCAGGAGCCCAGCGTCATGCTCCACGACTACTTCCGCAAGTGTATCGCGGCGAAACGACCCTTGTCCATCCGAAAGATTGGGCTGCAGAATCTGTACGCGCTGCATACCGAGGAGTTTCAGCTTGCCTTCGCCCAGCAACCCATGGAGGAGGTGACGATTCTCAACGACATAGGCTCGGATGTCTCGATGAACACGTTTGTGGACAGCACCTGGCCGACAGTCCCCCAGACTGAGATCCATATCAAATGTATCCGACAAGATGCGTTGTCGCGACGACATGCCGACTTCATAGGTCATTTCACCGGTCTGGAGAAGATGTATTTCGTCAACGCCAGCTCCAATCCGGGCCACGACATCAATTCCCCGCGACAGCCCGTCGCTGCCACGGCACTCACCCCACCACAGTCCGACACCAACGGCTCGGTGACGTACTCGTCTGCCGCAAACACCCCGGTCAACTCCCCTAGCCTGCAAGCAACTATCCGTGACTGCTACCTGAATAACATCATCTCGAACCATGCCTCCACTCTCCGTCACCTTCTGCTCCCTGCGCGCTGGCCACTGTCGGCCACCACGATAGCGCGCCTTGTGCACGCCAGTCCGCAACTCGAACAATTAGGTTTCGCCGCAGACTTCTCGACCATGGACACCTTGGGTCTACTATTACCGTTCCTCCGCCAATTGACCGCACTTCGCATCCTTGTTCCCACCGGCCCAGCATCGGATCAAGCCCGTTCCACCCAGTCTTCGTCTAAGCTGCTGACCGGCCAGACCTCCAAACTCTTCTCCCGCACCGCCAACCCCCTCGCCTCAGCACGCACTCTGCAGGAACTCGTCGAAGCCGACGATGAGATTCTCATCGAGAAATTCAGCGCTGCCCTCGCCGATCAACAGATTTTCCACCGTCTGAAAGTCCTCGGCTTCGGCCGGAAAGCCTTCCTCTTAGGTAAACACTACACCATTCCCACGGAACCGTCGAATGGCCACGCCGTCGAGCCTCAAACCCCGAGTACCACCCGCGCCCCAAGCACTGAGGCCGGTAAGAGTCCTTCGCAGCAGCAGCAGCAGCAGCAATTCAATCATGCTACGGCACCGGAGAAAGACCTCCTCAACGGCAACCATCATCACAACACGTACAACGCCTCGATCATCCCCGCCTTCAACACCAACTACACCACCAGCAGCAACCGGCAATCTCCACCCTCCGTTCTAGGTAAACGCAGCCGTCCGGATGACGAAGAGACCCCACCCGCCCGCACCGTGGAGACAATTCAGTCCCCAATCGAAGACGAGGACGGCCTCTGTCTCCCCAAAGTCATACGGGATCCCCGCGGTCGCGAATGGCGCCGCCAAGTCCGTCGGGTCGGGTGGGAAGTCCTGCAGCATTGGGAGATCTGGGCGTTGGACAAACAGGAGTTATGAGGTCGTTACGGTTTTTTTGAGTCAGTGTTTGGATTTTACAAAAAAGGAACATATACCCTGGAGTTTTTTTTTGTGTTTTGTTTATTCCTTATATGGGTTTGAGATGTATATTGTGGTGGTCGTTTGTGGATATGGATATGCATGTGCGATTGGACAGGATACAGAGATATACGGTGTGATCTTGCTCGAATGCATTGTTCGAAGGGCATTGAGCATGGACACGATAATAGATGACAAGACAGAACATTCCCCTCTCATTTCTGCTGATTCCACGTGTCGATCTTCTCGTAGGAACTGAAAAGGTACTTTGATGTGGCACTGAAGCAAGACAGCGTAGACTAAGGTAACAGCCTCCTCCAGAATGATGGGAGAAAAAGACCCGGTGTCGTACCTCGATGGCGAACAAAGCGCAAAAAGAACTAATCACTTCATAGCTTAACTTACCATCCACGACGCCGGGGGGGGGGGACAACCCCCCAACCCCCCAACCAACCTACCTACCTACCTACCTACCTGTCCATCCGTGCAACGCTGTGCCCATGGATGGCGCTAATCATACCCAGTAGTCATCACCGATCCCATCCAATCCTTAACCCCCGCCGGTATCCAGATTTGTCCTCCCTCTCCAGCGAAGACGTATGATGGGTGCTGTTGTATCGCTCTCCGGGCTTCTGCAAAGCTACTCCTCTGGGAAATACCTCGTAACTCGGTATACATAGATTTAGCGAAGAGATTCTACCAAAGATCTACTTGTGTGAAACGGAGTAGATGGGTCCCCGTAGTTTGTCCTGGCTTAGGGGGGGGGCTGTCGAGGTCGGGATTGCGGATGGTGTTAGCTGGATGGTTATCATTATGAATACAATCGATTCTATTGCTCTAAGCAATATTCAGGATATCCAGGTACAGAGGCAAACGGGGTAGAAGGAAAGATGTATACGTCAAGACGGTACGGTGACTTGGTAGGTTGAAGGTATACAGCTTGAATCCTTTGTTTTGCCGCGTGGGTTGGGTGATGTTGGAGGTTCTGAGCACGATATACGACAGTCTTTCTTTTAACTGGTCTATAGCAGTAGCAGCCAAGCTAGGTGTCATCCCGGTAAGTATATACAAATACAACCAGGAACGCCAGGAACGTTGGATGCCGGACAGCATCGAGGGTTAATCTAGGGCTTCGGAAGTAGCACATCTAGTTCTTACACGAAAATTGAGGATATGAAGGCCTTGTTTTACGGGGGTGGGGCGGAAAGCAAATTTCTCGTACCGCACGCACCGCACTACCGGCTTGTTACTGTGGAAGCCTCAAAATCCATATACCTACCCTGCTCCATCCACTCTCTCGCCTTGAGCGCCATACTCTCGGACTCCACATCTAGCAACACATTGGCCGGGACGCACGGCAGCTCGCGCTGGCCCAGTGCGCGGGAGTGCTCGAGGATGCACCGGACCATCCAGCCGTCGAATTTGTGAGATTCTGTGGAGAGCAGGCAGATGTTTTGGAAGGTCATTAGTCTGTTGATCTGATTGGTGGATGGGTCAGTATGATCTGAATGTGTTCTTGAGTTTTTTTTGGGGGGGGGGGCGAATTACCATGGCTTTCGTGTTTGGCCAGAACTGCTGTTGCTCGATCAACACCTCAAAATTGGCATTCAGCGCGGCGCGCGCGCCCTCGAGTTCTGTCGGGTCGCCCAGGAGGAGAGTGTGGAGGAGGACGGAGGAGGAGACGGTGGTCATGTGGCCGATGGTCGGGTAATTGTTTTCGCAGCCCTTGATTTGCCGGGCGAGGTGGAGGAGGTTGCTGAAGGAGGAGGCGTGGTGCTTGCAGCGGCGGATGTAGGTGCGGGAGTTATGGGATGATGGCTTGGATGAAGGGGCTTGCGTGCGGTGGTGGCTTTGGGTATGGGTTTGGTCGTCCTCGAGGAAACGGAAGTACAGCAGGGTGGAGTAATGGTGATACGCCAGGTGCAGAGCAATGAAGAGTCCCCCCCGTCCGGACTGCTGGTGACTGTGTAGGTTGGGTACCGTCATCTGCGTCTCGGCGAGGAGCATCTTGTTCCACGCTTCGAGCTGTCCGCCTAAGTCCTGGACCTCCTGGTCCAGTTCGACGGTGTCGGTGCAGCCGCGAGCGGCCTGACGGTTAAGGTCCTGAATCGGGCCGAAGAATCGCACCAGCGACACCATGTGCGCCCAGAGGCCGAGTTTCAATATGGTAGGTTCGAGGTGTACTGTCGGCGGCGGCGCTTCTGAATCGTTGCTCGTGTCGGGTGGTAGAGACTGGAAGGTGATCTCGTCAATAGGCAGCCCGTAGGGCTTGCTGTATTCGTCCATGTGACGGGGGAGACCGAGCCCCGAGGAACACCAGCGGTCCGCCACGTAGAGTGAGCACCAGACTCTGCGGACGGTTTCGCGCGTGATGAGGGATCCGTTCATCGCTGGGGAGGAGTCGAGCGACATGATCTCGGCCATTGAGGTGGCGATTCCTAGTGATCTGTGAATCGGCTGAACCCTTCAAAGAGAGTAGAGATTGAAAGCAGTAAGGGCATCTCGTACGAACGAAGAGTGCCTCCGAAGATGGCTCACAATTTCCCGCACTCAGGGTCGCAATCAGGATGCAGGTCTGCATGTTCTCGAGGCAGACATTCTCAAGGTCGGCTTGGAGCAGCCGCTTGGCCTCCCCGGTCAGCCGCGCTTCCAGGTCGCGTCGGTCCGGGTATGAGGAGAACTTGACCCCGAGGGCGCAGACGGCGTACAGTAAGGCCTTCCCCACGGTGCCATTGCGCACCTGGGCCCGCAATGTCGCCGGGTGGAAGATGCTGTGCGGTCTATCGTGGACCTTGGCGAGATACAGGTCAACCAGCTCCACAGTGATCTCCCAGGGGATTTGAAATGGGTCCAAGGTTGGGTGATGATGTCGGACAGGCTCATTGCGAGGTTGCTCTTCTTCGCTGAGAACCACCACCGGCTCGGGATTTGGCTCGCTGTTCACTCCCACCGGGTTTTGCCTTCGCAAATCGGCACTACATTCGATTCTTCGCTGCTGACATGCATTGCAGGGCTCACCTGGGCCGAGGCGAGTGCATTTTCGTTTAGAGGATCGGCATTGCAGGCATGCTCTTGGGGCTTTCATGCTGTTTCGGAGTGACGGGGTGGATGCAGTGAGGTAGGTGTACGGAGTAGAAGGATTCCCAGTGGTGGATTTGAGCGGAGGCAGCGGCCCCACAGCCTTTCCATACATCGGGATTGCTGTATCTCAATTGGCTGTTTTCCGAGGCTCCGAAACCACCCCGATATATGGAGTCACTTTTTACATGCAACCACCACCCATGATATCAAGTGGATGCTCATCCATACTCACTACTAATCATAGTCTCCTCACCGAGAAGCTACCAGGAGCAGTGGAAATGCACGAAGAACAGGTATATAAGGACTGCAATCGTGTCCGCTTTCATCGCTAATGCTCAATTTTAATCACAACCTCGAAACTCCTATTTTCCACCCAGTTCGACTATTATACAAATTACAAACATCAGGCACTCCACGATGTCAAGCCTCTTAGAGCCCATCATTGTCGGCGGAAAGCTTCCGCTGAGAAACCGTGTGGTCATGGGCTCTATGACCCGGAACCGCTGCCTCGACCGCGTGCCCGGTGCAGCACAAGTCAAGCATTACGCAGACAGAGCCAGGGACGGCGTCGGCCTGATTGTGAACGAGGGCACCTTTGTAGACTGGACGGGCTGCGACTGGCAATGGTCGCCCGTCATGATCGAGATGGAGCATGCCGAGGCATGGCGGAAAGTGACCGATGCCGTCCATGAAGCCGGTGGGAAGATCCTTTTCCAAGCCTGGCACGCAGGTAGGTGAATGAGCTTAACAAAGATGGGTGATGTCGCCATGTGATACTCATGCAGGTCTGATAGGTCGGATTCAGCATGACCAAATGCGAATCATGAAAGAAAAGGGTGGACGTGTCCTGGCGCCATCCAGCATCAAAGCTGAAGGGGGAAAATATCGTGACCTTCCGGGTCAGCCGGTATGAGATCATGTCACTCCACACCCGTGCCTTATTGAGGATATCGCTGACCACAACCTGATGCAGGGGCATACGGATAATGTTGAGGAAATCAAGAACCCGCGTGACGTGATCGATACCTATCGACACTCCGTTCTGCTGGCTAAAAATGCAGGCTTTGACGGCGTTGAGCTGCTGGCCCAAGGGTAAGTATATGCGATATCACTTGGTCACAGGATTGGTACTGATACATATCGCGAACCCAGCGGTTATTTACCCCATCAATTCCTCAACACGTAGGTATTCCTCCCCTAAAGTCTTCAACAACTGACAAACACAAGTCGTTCAAACAAGCGAACAGATAGCTATGGAGGTTCAGTAGAAAATCGCTGCCGATTCACCCTTGAATTAGTCGATGCCATTAGCGAGGTATTCGGGGGACCCGAGCTAGTCTGCGTCAAGATCAACCCCACGGACTTCTACAATGACTCCGCGACCACTTTTGAGGAGATGAAAGAGACCTACACGTTCTTGATCAAGGCGCTCGTTGACCGCCGAGTGGGCATCGTCAACCTTGGCCGCCGCGGAATTGATCCCAATGCAGGCACCGGAGACTTCTTCGGACGCAGTGGTCGACCCGAGGAATTCCCTCTGCCCCCTGGGTACGACCCTGTCTTGGACCTTGGCCCGCTGGTCAAGTATCCCGGCAGCCCGTCTTTGCTCATGGCCAACCATGATTATACACCTGAGGAGGCGGATCGGCTGGTCAAAGAAGGGAAGTTGGACTTGATAACCTTTGCGAGGCCCTTTATCTATAACCCGGTGAGTAGGCTGATTTTTTGAGGTCATTCCTGAATGCTCAACTAACGACATCAGGATGTAATCTCGCGCATCAAGAATGGCATTCCTTTCGCCCAGAATGATCGGGGCAAGAATGTGCACTACGGACCCTATCGGGCACCCGACGAGAACTACAATGACTGGCCTGCTGCTTCCCTTTAGTACATTAAGTATTCGGGTAGAAGGGTATGAGGAAGCTGCTGAGGGAATAAGGAAAAGACAAAATTGAGGATATATCACATACCTGTACAGCGTACTCTGCAAGTACCCATAATTGAAATTACCTATACACAATTCACATGCTGTGAGCAAGAACTGCCGAGCTTGATCAACCGCTCTGCGCAGAATCTGAATCACCGTCTTTTGCTTTTGTTTTCGAGCGCATATTGCACCAGTAATCACCGAAGAAGCTCTTCTTAGTCGGCGAAAGCGTGACAATTTTTCTTTGAGAGGGTGAATGCTGTTCTTCGCATCTATAGAGACTCCATGCACGGATTTGGTCTTCTGCTGCTAAGCACCAAGGGAGGTTTGTAGGGGAGCCGGCCTTTCTCGATGTCTCAATTCGATTCGTTGCGTCTCTGTAATGAGATCTGGCTGCTCATTAATGAGACATTGCTGGATATCAACAACACGCCGCAGCACATCATAGAATAGGATCGGTTGTAGTGGTTTGAAAGCCGTTGTCAGAAGTTGTGGGGAAGGATCGTTGCTTAGTGCTGAGTCTAGACCTTTCGAATCTCTACCTCCCTTGCTACAAAGTAGATAAGGGGGGGGAAGATCACCGTTAGTAACTTTCTAGTAAAGCCAAGATCTCAAGCACCTTGCCTGCTTCATAGAGTCATAAAAGAAATTATAATCAAAAGAGAGACCAGAGAAGACTCCAGGTCGGATCATATCTGTGTAGAATATAGATCGTTGCCGAGCGTACTACTAGGTAAGGTGCTGCAGCTTCCCTCTTTTTCCCCCCACCGCACCTTATCGATAAAAAGGACCGGACTGACACGTGACGTCCACCCTCCGAAGCTGTAACAGCGAAGCTGACCATTCCCACTCTCTCGTTTCATTTCACTGTCCATGTCATTGAAGTCTCTCTCGTTGTGCCCTTTCTGTTCTGATTTGGCCCCGTAGCATGCTTGGTCTAGGCCTGCTCATATACTGACCATGGCGTCTGAATTTATCGGCTACGATGTGCTGGTGACTCTGCGAACGCCACCAAATGCAACTGTGCAAGGAGAAGTGGCCAATGTCATCGGCCAGCGTCTAATTCTACGGAACGGTAGGTAGAGCAATTCTTCAACACATCTTTTTGAACCGTTTCTCCAGGCTTGACCAAGAATTATCGCTGATCAACATGATCCCCACTTCTCAGTCAAGCTATCGTGGATCGGTCACCCACTTCCGTCCTACTCCGTCGACGCTCCGGACATTGCGGACCTCTCAATAGCACCATCAGGCCAGCCCACTGCCCAGCAGCCCCCTGTCCCCCCTGCTCCCTTTTCTCACAAGGAGGCAGTGGGTGCTACTTTTGCGCCACCCGCGCCATCAGCACCACAGCCTTTCGTGGACCCAGCGATTCTGAGTTTCTCGAAACCTCCCTCGAAACCAGTCGACCACAGCCCAGAAGCAGCGGCACCTTCGAGCTCCCAACATAGTCAGCTATCGCGGCAAGTTGTCCGTGATCAGGATGCTGTTCTTAATGAACCATTCAGCAACCTTGAGCTAGATGTGAACAAGGCCCCACCCGAGAGCGGAATCGCGACACAAACTGCACCCCCTTTGCAACAGAGCCTACACTACGGACCCAAGACCAATCGTCGCGGTGGTGCGCCTAAGGTCTCCAAAGTTGTCAACGAACACGATGGAGCAGCCAATACAAACCCGAAGACCAGGGGCTGGCGCCAGACAGCCTTTACCGAGCCCTCGCACCCACAACTCGCGGAGACACGCAACAAGCAGCGGCGGAAGAAGAAGGGCAGAGCCAGTTATGCTGAGGACCCGAATGGCTGGGCGACAGAAGACGCCACGGATATCCAGGAATTGGGCGAGTTCGATTTTCAGAGCAATCTTTCCAAGTTCGACAAAAGACGGGTTTTTGAGGAGATTCGTAATGACGACACTACCGCCGATGAGGAACGCTTGGTCAGTTTCAACAGAAGACCAAAACCCGGAACGAACGGTGGGAGAAACCTGCATTGGACGGAAAACGTTCTCGACAGTCTTGAGGAGAGTGAGGAGGAGCTTACTGATCACGTCCCGAGCGACGCGAAGCTTAGCAGCGGAACCTACTCAGGACGTGAGCGCACACTGTCTTCCAGGGCGCCACCGTCTCGCAAAGGCAGTGCTATTCTCGGACAGCCATTGGTCCCTGCACAGGTCAACTCGCTTGGTCGCAGTCAATTGAGCACGTCTCGAACCACCAGCCCACGCCCGAATAAAACTCCCGTCTCGGCATCGCCGGTAAGCGGTCCCGGTGTGCCTGGTGCCTCTCTGCGCCTCACGACTACCAACAGAAGCTGTCCAACCGTGAGTCCGCTCCAGACTCTTGAGGTTGAGCAGATTGCGGTCGCGGAGCTCGGCCTCACCGAGGACATGATAACAGAAAACACTGGGCGAGGCATTGCGGAAGCCGCCGTCGGCCTTCTGACTAGTGATGCGGCCGCCCCGACAATGCTTATACTCACAGGCAATCACCGGACGGGAGCACGGGCTATATCCGCTGCTCGCCATCTGCGCAACAGGGGTCACCGTGTCACCGTCTGTATGCTGGGAATTGAGCACGAAAACGAGCTGTTGGAGAATTGCCGCAAGCAACTCGACGTGTTCAAGAAGATCGGCGGTCGAGTGCATCGGTGGGAAGATCTCTCAGCCCGACTGACAACCTCCGAGTTTGCTCCCGACTTGGTGGTCGATGCACTATTTGGTATTCACATTGCCTTTGAGGACCTTCGCACAGACGATCAAGCAGTAGCCTTCGAAATGATTTCTTGGGCTAACAGGAGTAATCTTGAAGTCTTGTCTGTGGACGTCCCCTCCGGTCTTTCTGCTATTAGTGGTGAGCCTTTCTTCCTTGAACGTTGATTGAAACTGCGGCTGGTCTCTAATATGATACAGGCGAAGCGACGGTGGTGGAAGGCGGTCGAGTCTGCGTCAATGCTAAGTCAGTGGTTTGCCTAGGCGCTCCAAAGACTGGTATCATCAACGCCTTGCTCTCGGGAGAAGGACTATCATGGAATCTCTCGGTAGCAGACATTGGAATCCCTCAGATTGTGTGGAGGAAATATGGCAGTCGACGACG